ACCAGAAGTCTTACTTTTTCTCCAGCGAGGTGATAGCTGCCTCTTCCTACCTTCCTAGGGCTTGACCCCCCCCCCACACCCGTGGCGCCACAAGATGGAGTTTCTGCTCCTTGGGAGCTTGCAGCTCAGAATCTCCGTGTCTAGCAGTCTATGAGATTCACCCTAGCTTATGCACAAAGAACATGCTGTCTGCCCTCCTAAAGGGCTCCGTGTATGCTTCTCTGCCAGAAATGAGGCAGGGCAGCTTTCAGAGTTCAATCCTTGCCTTCCCAGGACTCACCAACATGAGTTCCCCCTTGGCTTCTCTCTCATTTCTGCAGGGGTGGGGGTTGGGGGCTCCAGAAGGTGCGTGCTGGGCCCTGAGGGAGCAGCAAACATTTGTTGTGCCAAGGGGTGGGTGGGGAGCCTGTTGTTAATGGTAGCAGAGTTTACTCTCTGGTGGCGGAAATGCAGGTCTACATGAAACCTAACTTTAAATGCCGAGCTGCGTTCTTTTTCTGTTTTATTATTTCCACTGTTTGTAACAGAGTCTTAACCTGTGGTGGTGGTCTTTGCGGAGGGTTCTTTGTGGACACTGGGGAAGAGCCTAGGCCTAAGTGCTAGGAAAGACACTTGTAACTAAACCCCCAGCCTTTCCTCCTTAAATCTTTTTGAGACAGTCTCACTAATTTGTACAGGCTGGTTTTGAACTCGGAAGCCTCCTGCTTCATGCTCCCGAGTAGCAGGAATCACCAAGTCTTTACTTTTTAAAGCTGGGTATGGTGCCCTTTTGTAAGCCCAGCACTGGTGAGGCTGAGGCAGAATTGTGTGTTCAAAGCCAGCCTGAACTACATCTAGGGAGGCAGAAGCAGGCGGATCTCTGTGAGTTCGAGGCTAGCCTGGTCTACAGAGCGAATTCCAGGACAGCCTCCAAAACAGAGAAACCCTGTCTTGAAACCACCAACTCCCCCTCCCCCCCCAAAAGAACCTGCCTTAAAGAAAGAACAAATGGTGTTGGCGCATGCCTTTAATCCCGGCACTTGGGTGGGGGGGGCAGAGGCCAGCCTGGTCTACAAAGCTACACAGAGAAACCCTATCTTGGAAAACCAACCAACCAAACAAACAAACGAACTTTTTCCTGATGTAAATCTATAGCTTCAGACTTTGTCTAATGCTCCCATTTATACAAATATTTCTATTATCATTTATAACAATATTTTCCAGGTCTCTTACGATTTCTTCTTTGGCCCCAGGCTATTTAGGAGGCATGTTGCCCAGTTCCCAGACGTGTGTAGGGCTTAGGCTCTCGCTTTTGTTGTGGTTCCAGTTATTTGAGGATGTAGGACTTACTGAGCTCTGCGTACCGTCTGGCCTGGAGAAGGTGCCCCCGTGTAGTGTAGTGGATGTATGCCTGCTGCTGGGAAAAGTCCCCTCCACAGGAAGGCCAGGCTGGCTGCGGTGGCTGGGGACTTCCGGCCTGGTGTTTTCTTGCTCTCCTTGGAGAGAGGCAAGCTAGTGTCTCCCACTGTTCTGTCCCTCTTGTCCTTCAGCAGGTTGTACTGTGCGGTGTGGGGTTTGTTTATTAATTTATTTAATTATTTTGGTTTTAGGGACAGGATCTTTCTGTAGATCTGTAGTTTGGCTATTCTAGAACTCACTGTGTAGACCAGACTAGCCTCCACATCGCAGAGTTCGTCCAGCCTCTGCGTCCTCTAAGTGCTGGGATTAAATGTGTGCTCCGCCGCACCTGGCTGTGAGTGTGTTTCAAGTGCTGGGTTGCAACTCCAGGGCTTCTGTAAAATAACTGGCCTTCTGCTGGTCCTCATAGTTTTTCCAAGCACAGGCCTAACCATGTTACCACCTGTAGACAACTTACGTAAAAACAACACGCACACCCAAAAGTGGTTCATGTCATCTTATTATCCATCTTCCTGGGGACCCCTTAAAGACTGTCTGGAGATTTATTGTACTGTGGGCCCCGTGCAGAAAGTATTGTTCCACCCTGCCCTTCCTTGGGCCCAATTACTGTGGGCCCAGCGTCCCCCTGCTCATCCCTTTACAGTGCTGTCTTGAGCACCAACCAGGACAAAGCCAGCATCCAGCCCACCCTGGAGGACATCCGCATTGATAGCCACACACTTGTACTTTTTGCAGGACTGAATGCAGACCAGAGGAGCCCTGTCACACACACCTACCCTAACCCTAATGGGCTGGGGTGTGGTCGTCAGTGAGGCGGGTGCCTGGTGCCTAGACTTGAGGAAAGTGGGTGGGAGGAGGGTGGGGAGCACTGCGTGAGCCCTGTAGCTCTCTGCCAGGGAACCCGGAGGGTGGGGCTTCTGGTCCTGGCTGGACTCTGCCTTGCTGCTGCCGTCCACCACCAGGTTCCCAGAAGATTCTACCGCACTTGATGGTGACAGTGACCATCCCTAAGCCTAGTGGAGATGCATCCCTTGCCAAGCTCAGTCTGATCTCAGAGAGACTCATTGCTGTGAAGAGGGAGTAGACAGAGGGCAAGAGAGTCTGCTTTGGAAATGAAGTCACTCGTGCCAAAGGAGGAGACTCTTCACAGCAGCCTGACTAAGCAGAGGCCGTGACCTCTACCTGTTCCTGGGCCTTGAGGTCCCTTAAGGGAATGTCATGGGCAAGGTGTGAGTTCAGGTCTGAAGAGAAAGGAGCCTGCCCTCACCCGCCCTCTCCCTTAGTTTTCCCCATTTTCTGCTCACTGCCCTCGTTAGGAAATGCCTCCTTGCCCTTTCTCCACAGCCCACCAGGCTCTAGCCCCAGCTCCCTCCACAAATTTGACCACTGTTTTCAGCCCTCCTGACAGCAGGACAGGGCTATGAGGGGACTTAGAGATACCAGGGTCTTTTGTGCTGCCATGAGGTAATGAGGAAGTGCCTGGAAGCCTCGCTACAACAAGCTGTGAACCTGGTTCCAAGTCAGGTGGTTCCTGTTGGCACCATGAGCATATGCCAGGCCACAGCAAGCCGCGGGCCATGTCCGTGGGACAGCGTCACTCGGTATGGCTAGCAGTGGGAGGTTAGAGTTTAATTAAAGCACAGGTCCGAACTTTGACGTGAAGTCTGTCCCTTGCCATCCTTTGCCTTCAAGGTATGGGGCTCACACTCTCCGATGAGGTGAGGTTCAGAGGGCCAGGCCTCAGAGCCATAGCCCTCGTCTGGAGAGTGCAGCTTGCCAAGGCTGTGGAGGGGAATTTTAAACGGGCAGGGCATGATCAGATTTTGGCATTGAAGATGAGAAGGGGCTGGCGTGTAGCTCAGTTGTCTCAGCCATGAATAAAACCAGGCATAGTGGCTACTCAGGAAATGGAGGCAAAAGGGTCAGAAGTTTAGTCACCCTTGACTACACAGTTTGAGGTCAGCCTGACCTACATGAGACCCTCTCCCCCAAGGGGACGAAAAATAAATAAATAAAAATAAGATGAGAAAAGTAAAGTTACAGAAGCCAGAGTCTCTGGGGACGTGCAGAGAATGAAATTCGAGGGTCACAGAGACTGGGGTTGCTGGGTTCTGCCCCTCAAAGAAAGATGGATCCCAGCTCCCGGGGCTGCATTTTCAGCGGCCCGAGTGTGTGTGACTCCGATGTGTGGAGTGCCAGGAAGGCAATGAAACACGCCTGCAGCTCGTTGTCACCGTGGGCTCCTGTCCTGACAGCGTGGCTCTTGAGGATTGAGACTTGGTTGGGCTTCTCGTGAAGCAATGTGGCCCGTGAGGAGGTGGCAGCCTAGGGTCCCTGTGAGGTCCTTACCAGTGCCATGAGGGCACCTGCACCATGCTGGCTTCTGTGAACCTGCCCATGAAGCCATGCCTGTCGCTGTCTCCTACAGTGGAGCGGAGACGGAGGGACAAGATTAACAACTGGATCGTCCAGCTTTCAAAAATCATTCCAGACTGTCATGCAGACAACAGCAAGACAGGAGCGGTGAGTGTCCCCAGTCTCCCGTCCCTGCACAGGAGTGGCCCCGTCCTCTGACTCGGGCCTGCCCCCCTCCCTCCCCACTCCAGAGCAAAGGGGGCATCCTGTCCAAGGCCTGTGACTACATCCGGGAGCTACGCCAGACCAACCAGCGAATGCAGGAGACCTTCAAGGAGGCCGAGCGGCTGCAGATGGACAATGAGCTCCTGAGACAGCAGGCAGGTGTAGGCCGGGGTCCACTGGGGGCCCAGGGTGCCGAGGGCTAGCCCCTGGCTCATGTGTCCTCTCTGGTGCCTGCAGATCGAGGAGCTGAAGAACGAGAACGCCCTGCTTCGAGCCCAACTGCAGCAGCACAACCTGGAAATGGTGGGCGAGAGCGCCCGGCAGTGATGCCCACCCTGCAGCTGCTGCCGGCCTCTGCCGCCCCTCCCCCAGCCCTTAGCACAGAGAGGGAGATACCCCTCCCCAAGCTGCGTTTTTTTATAGTAGATTTTTAACAAAAACAAGGAGACATAATGCATTTCTGTGGATACGTTGCCCACTACCCTCCTCCATGCGGAAAAGATGCCACCTGCCCACCTGTCCACCAGCCTCCCTTCTCGCTCCTCACCAGCCCAGCACTTGTAATGGGCTACCAGGAGGAGCAAGGGAGGAGGACAGAGGCCCCGCTGCCCGCTGCCTCCTTGGTCTCTAGAGGTATTGAGACAGGGTGCTCATGGGAAGGAGGGAGCTTCGGGGACGCCTTCCCTGGGGCCTGGACCTATGCAGGGAGGCCACGTCCCCCACCCCTCTTGTTTCTGGATCCCTGCTCCCCTCTGGGTGTGTGGGTGTGTATGTATGTGTGTGCGTGTGTGTGCGCGTGTGTTTAATTTTCTTTATGGAAAAATGAACGAAAAATAGAGAGAGAGGTATTTAACTGCAATAAACTGGCCAGTGTGGCCCCGCCTTGTCTGTCTGTGTGTCGGTCGGAGTTGGGTGAGGGGACAGGCAGGGATCCTAGGGTCTCCCCGAGGTCTGAGCTTCAACTATATTGTGACTGTGTAAAAACGGCCGGGAGAATTAAGGACTGCATTTCTCCTTTGAGGCCCTAGGGTGCGGATGAGGGGTATGGGAGCTGCGGTCAAGGATGTGACCCTTGGTGTTGAGGGGGGTGAGGCTGGAGTCTCCCAGGTCAGGGCTTCTTGAAAACAGAGCCGATGAGCATCCCTGGCCTCTGGGGCTGAAGCCCTCCCCTCGGCCCCAGCCAATGATGGGGCCTGGCCTTGAGCCCCCCACCCCCAAGGGAGGGCAGAGGGCCAGGAAGCCAGGCTTGGCCCGGCAGTCTGTCGCCGCACACCGTGGCTCTGGCGCCTGTGCTGTGACCCCTGCCCTTGGCGGATGATGAAACCTGTCCTGAGCAGCCACAGTGATGCCTGGCAGGCCTGGGGGAGACCATCATGTCCCCAGGAGACTGACCTATTCCCAAGATCCAGGCCTGCTTGTCAGTCACCTTGCTGTGGTTTCGGCCTTGCCACAGCCTGAGTACACCTGATGGTCTCTGGCTTGCCCCTCCCTGGTGATCTCTTTCAGAGAGCATAGCAAGCAGCCTAGGGGCTCTAGTGAGCAACAGCGTTGGGGTGGCGGCCGCATCCCCAGGCCTCTACACAGGATTGACTCTGGTGTTCCTGTGTGAGTCAGGGGCCGTGTCAGTAGCCAGTGAGTCAAAGTTCCAGAATGTCTCCAGCCATGCACAGCAAGGGAGCCAGGTAATAGACAGGAAGGAGGACACCACACAGGTTTCAGTAGTACCCCAAGAACCAACCATAAACACCCTGGAGTGTGCCCTGTACCAATTTCTGTGGTGTATATTCTCCCAGCATGGCAATTGAGAAGGTTCTGGCCTAATTCCTCTGCTCTGCCAAGTCTAACCTGCTGCTGAGTCCCTTGTGCTTAGAGGGAGATGGAAGTGTGATGATCAGGCCAGGCCCCTGGTGTCAGTGACTAGAAGGCGTCTGTAAGCCTAAACTAACAGAATCCGGGAGGACCACTCGGAGGCCGAATAGCACTAGCTGCTAACACGGAAGTGGGTTGGTACCGGTGCGTAAGATGTGGGGAGCTAGTGAGCCCTGGTGTGTGAAGGAATGGACTAGCCCACATGCCGGGCTGTGAAACATGTTGGCTCTGGCTGTGACTAATGACTGCCACCACCATAGGCAAAAGGGGACTTCAACACGACAGCTACGTCGTGTGGTCTGGACATTGGACACCACAGGCAGCCTATGCTTGGGCATCTGTCTGTCCTGACTGGTGCTAGAATGTGCCCTGCATATGTGTACCCCATTGCTGGGTCACTCTGGGAAGTCCAGTGACAGCCATACTGAAGACACCGGTACGGGTAGAGGGCAATGTCCAGGGGAAAAGGGGAATTTTTCTGGGATCCACAGCGTGACATCACAGGTGGCCGGCTGGAGGAGTGTGTCCATGGCCCTAGCTGCCCCACCCCCTGGATGCAGCTCTGCTGGCTGAGGGTGACACAACCCTGTCCCCTGTCACTCTGTTCCCGCTTATCTCTCCCGCCTGTTCGGCGCCACTATCTTCTTGGAAATGGGTCAGGGCAAAGGGGAGGGGGCTCAGGTGTCCCCTCCTCCAACTGGTCCCATAAAAAGGCCTAGGACTGGGTCCCAGACACCAGGCAAACCCTCAGATGGCACAGCAGGACGGAAGGCACGATGGCACAGAGCACTAAGATCCAGGCTGCCTGTTTCTTGATCCTCCTCATCGCCAACCTGGCCAGCAGCAGCATCCTCCAGCAGCTGGTGAGCACCCTAAGCCTGCTACCGTGGGAGAGCCACTGTCCGGGAGGCAGGGGCTCCTCAGTTATGCAGGGCAGCTACTGAAGGGACAAGGGTGGGCCACTCTCTAGCTGCACAGGGACTGTGGAAAGTGGTCATAAGGAACATGCTGGAAAGCCAGAAACAATGTTCCTCTGGCTGTCCTATTCCAGTCCTTAAAGTGCCTTTACTTGACTATTTAGAAAACACCTATTTGTGGATAGCACAAAAGATGACGGCCGAAGGCCAGGCGTTGGTGGTGCACGCCTTTAATCCCAGCACTTGGGAGGCAGAGGCAGGCGGATCTCTGTAAGTTCAAGACCAGCCTGGACTACCAAGCGAGTTCCAGGACAGCCTCCAAAGCCACAGAGAAACCCTGTCTCGAAAAACCAAAAAAAAAAAAAAGATGACGACCGAATTACTGCCATCAGGAAGGACCAGAATTGGGGCCAAGAGGCAGAAAGCCAAGCCAAGGTGTTTTATAAGAAAAATGATACAGAGCCGGGCGGTGGTGGCGCACGCCTTTAATCCCAGCGCTCGGGAGGCAGAGGCAGGCGGGTCTCTGTGAGTTCGAGGCCAGCCTGGTCTACAAGAGCCAGTTCCAGGACAGGCCTCCAAAGCAATACAGAGAAACACTGTCTCAAGGGGAAAAAAAAAAAAGGATACAGAAAGGGCTGTAGAGGCGGCTCAGCGGTTAGAGCACTTGATGCTTGTGCAAAGGACCCAGATTCAGTTCCTGGCACCCGCACGGTGGCTCCCAACCATCTTTAACTCTAGCTTCAGGGCATCTGATGCCTTCTGACCGTCACAGGCACAGGGCATGCGTGTGGTGCCCATGCAGGCAAAACACACACAAACAAATCTGTAAGGAAGGAACCGCTGCAGAGCCAGGCTTGGTGTGGGCACTCAGAAAACGGAGGAGGGGGGACCGGGAGTCCACAGCCACCCTTGGCTACATAGCAAGTTCCGTGCCAGTCTGGGCTGTGAAAACCCTGTCTCAAACGACAGCGAAGACACTAGATTTGTACCTTGGAGCTGAGACAGCAGAGTGGGCACTCGCAGGACCCTTGGGCCTGTAGGATCTGATAAGCGGCATCAGTGTTGGAAGTAAGGAGAGGGTGGAGGTGGTTCTGGCGGTGCCAAGCTTTGTAGACAGCTGTGCAGATGATGGTTGGTCCTTGGGTCGCTGAGAATCCAGCTGATGATGAGTTACTCTGCTCTGTGGTGACCTAACTGTCAGAAATAAGATGCAGGGAGAACTATCGGGAAGGTAGTGTCCTGAAGGAGGAGAGTACGGTAACAAAGAAGGTACTTGTACAAAGCAGAGCATCCGAGGCATGACGGGGCAAACAGGGCAGGGAGGTCTCTTCTCGGAATTCCATCTGAACACATGTCCCTAAGCCCCCGGGGAAGGACCAAGCTGGCAGAGACAGGTCAGAAAACTGTACTGGAGACTCAGCAGTCAATACTCAAGGGCCCTTTCTGCTCTCCCAGGTGAGACAGCCTGAAGCACTACAGCCCAGGCCCAGGACAGAAGCCAGGACAGAAGCCAGGACCGACGGGACGGTGAGAGCCACTGGGACTCCCTCCATGGTTCCCCAGCCTTTCCCACGCCCAAGCAAGGCGGCTCACTTCCCTTCCTTTCCACAGCTCCTGATCCCAAAGCGAACGAGGCGAGACAGCCACTTCCCATTCTGCACTTTCTGCTGTTACTGCTGCGGCAATTCTGACTGTGGCTTCTGCTGCAAAACATAGAGCCGCCTGCCCGGCCTCCCAACATCCCCTGCCTCCCCTCCGCCCTCCCCCCATTTATTTATGAGCTTGAAATAAAGATGACAATTTTACTTTCACACTATGGTGTCTTTTTTTTTTCTTTTTGCCTTTAACAAAGTTAAAGTTCTTTTCATCAACTTCTCCCTCTTTTCCCCCAGTATTAGATGATCAAACACAGGCCCACACAAAACAGTCAAGTATTTATTCCAAGTTATGCCCTGAGCCCAAAGAAACTTTAATTTTCAGACAGGGTCTTGTGTAGCCTGCCTTTGCACTAAGTAGCCAAGGATGACCTTAGATTTCTGACACCCACCTCTGGCTCCTGAGTTCTGGGTTTATAAGTATGTGCCATCGTGTGATGCTGAGAATCAAACCCAGGACTTCCTGCATTCCAGGCAAGCACTGTACCAACTTTGCCTACACCTCTATCCCTATATGTAGCCCAGGCTATACTAGAACTCACTATGTAGCTTAGGCTGGTTTCTAAACTGGTTGTATGCCTCAGCCCAACTGGAAATTAAAAAGAAAAAAAATCGATCTGCAGGACAAACTCAGACTGGAAGCCAACAGGCACCAACTTTTAGCACCAGAAACTGTAAGAGGCTGCTCAGCTAAGGGAGGCGAAAAGACCACCCCCCCCCCAGCCTAAGTGTTTACAACCTTGCAATTTCTGCTACCCCAGGCTCCTCTTAGCTTTAGTTGTTCGACCTCACAGGCAGGCTTGATGAGATGCTGTAAAGCTGTAGGCGCTGATCACAACCTCTGGTAGGGTTGAGTCCAGGACAAGGAGTGTACTCAGTACAGCAGAAGGCAACACCCCTCCCCCAACAATGACGTCATGGCCCCTGGTCATATGGCTAAGACAGACACACAAATCACAGGACTCATATTCTGGAAAGTGTCTGAGCTCATGAAGAGCTCCACCCCCCTGGTCTACCCTTTCGCACTCTTCAGAAGTCCCTCTCCCCTCACCCACAATTTAAGGATACAACGGGTAACTCTGAATGAAGGTGGTTCAGGGTTCCACATAAGCCAATTCCCCCAGGATGGACACAGGTCACAATATTGCCTAGATTCCCAGTTTGCTCAGCCCACTGAAAGGTCATTTCTCTTAAGACTCAAGCAGCCGTAGTGGACAAAGACCAGAAGCCAATTCAGGGTTTCCTAAATGGAGACAGAAGGGGCAGGGAGAGGACCCAGCTACGGAAGGATTGGCTCCTCATGGCACTGACACTTCTGCCGGTTAAATTCAGTCAAGGAGAGGAGTATAGAATTGTTTTTGGTAACTGTCAAATGCCCCCTACATGTGCAAAGTCAGTATTAACAGGGCAGAGGTGAGGTCTTGACCCTATTTCGTTTTGTTTTGTTTTGAAAACAGAGTCTCATCGTAACCCCAGATGTCCTGGAATTTGCTCATAGACTAAGGGGCTGGAGAAACGATATGACAGTTAGGAGCACATACTGCTCTTGCAGAGGTCTAGAGTTTGGCTTCCAGCACCGATGTCAAGTAGCTCACGGCCACCTCTAACCCCAGCTCCAGGGGATCTGCTGCCCTCTTCTGGCCTCTGAAAGTACCTGCATTCACGTGCGCATTCCCCTGCATGTGTGTACACACTCAATTTTAAAATGACGAAAGCAAATCTTAGAAAAGAAAGCCTCAGCCTTAGCGTCGCCTTCCTTGAAACTCCTGCGCTAAGAGAGTGAAGTGAGGGAACATGGGAATGCAAGGGAAGAAAGAAGAGGAGGTCCAGGTCAGCTAGCTCGTGCACCCAAGAAGGCTGGAGGAGCAGAAGCGAATGATCCTGAAGGCTGAGACGCTTAAGGCTGGGACACCGGAACAAGTTGTTGGCCTGTATGCCGCTGTCGGCAATAAATCTCAGTGGACCTGGGACATTACATTCTGCTCAATGAGACCACCTGAGAGACTATCTTCCTGTAACCCAAACAGCCCTGCTGGTCCTCTGCCCTGCACCTGTGGCATTCTGGACTCATTCTAGTCTTACCTGTGGCCAAGTGTAACTCTTAATTATCGTTCTCACTGCCTAAAAAATAAAATAAAAATATGGTTGAGCCGGGCGTTGGTGGCGCATGCCTTTAATCCCAGCACTGGGGGAGTCAGAGACAGACGGATCTCTGTGAGTTCGATGCCAGCCTGGTCTACTGAGCGAGTTCCAAGACAGGCTCCAAAACAATACAGAGAAACCCTGTCTCGAACAAACAACAACAAAATACGGTTGAGTGGAGTTTTAAGTTCCAGCGGCCGTCTGTTTCTTTTCAGGCTCCATACCGGAAACAAATGTCCACTCCTTCCTGCCATGATGCTCTGCCTGAGGCAACCGACTGCTCTCCTCTGAAACCATAAGCTGAAGCACAACCTTCCTCCTTTGAGCTGTTTCCAGAGGTGTTTTGCTACACTGGCAAAAAGTAACTAATGTGTAGCAGTGCTAATTACACTGGATAGCTCTGGGTAACTAATATGTAGCAGTGCTAATTACACTGAATAGCTCTGGGTAACTAATGTGTAGCAGTGCTAATTACACTGGATAGCTCTGGGTAACTAATATGTAGCAGTGCTAATTACACTGGATAGCTCTGGGCACCCTTCTCTTGTTTTCGGACACATTTCTCCAGAAGGTCCTAGAGTTGTGACATGTAAAGCAGAGGGATTAAAACCTTAGTGCGGCCGGGCGTAATCCCAGCACTCGGGAGGCAGAGGCAGGCAGATCTCTGGGAGTTCGAGGCCAGCCTACTCTACAGAGCAAGTTCCAGGACAGTCTCCAAAGCAATTCAGAGAAACTCTGTCTGAAAAAAACAAAAGAAACAAAACCTTAGTGCGTGTGTGCAAGCCCAGTGTGGTGGCACACGCCTTTAATCCCAGCACTTGGGAGGCAGTGCCAGGCGGATCTCTGTGAGTTCGAGGCCCCTTTGACCTATAGAGTGAGGTCCGGACAGCCAAGGCCACACAAAGAAACCCCTTCTTGGAAAAAATAAAATAAAATAAAACCCAAAACCCAGAAAAGCAAAAATTTAACAACAAAAACAACAACAAAAAACACCCTTTAGTGCGCATGAGGGCAGATCTAATGCAACCCTATTCAAATGCCCACCGCTCCACTGCTGACCTCTCCCTGGAACTTCTCATTCAGCAGACAGGCTAGACCTAGAAATTTTTAGTTTTTAGAAAAAGTCTTCCCTGTGTAGCCCTTGCTAATTATACCAGGCTGGCCTGGAACTCACAGAGATCCCCCTGCTTCTGCCTCCTAAATGAGGGGAGTAAAGGCGTGCGCCACCACTGCCCCCCCTGCTCAACTCCCCCCCCCATCCTAGTCTCTCCTCCCCTTGCCTCCTTCTGGTAACCAAGGCTGGTCTTGGACTAGGTAGGTGAGGACCATCTGGAACTTCTTATCCTCCTGCCTCTCCCTTCTGAGTGACGGAATTATAGCCAGACCACTGTCTACCCAGTGTATGTGGGGCTGGTCTCCAACACCAAGCCGTGTGCATGCTAGGCAAGCCCTCTGCCAACTGAACTACAGCCCCAGGCCCTTGAACTTGCTACAGAACACAGCCCTATAGCTGCTGCTGACCTGAGTGTCACACTGTGATGACCCTTGACATGAAATACCAGTCCTGACGAAGAGCAGCAAAGGGACTCTGGGCTGACCAAGCCCCAGGCCCAAGACAGCCTTAAGGGATAGAATGACTATCAGAACGACATGTCTGGGCATGTTTTCTCTAGTTTGCATGTTATTTTGGATAAAACTGGGCTACCAAGCAAAAAAATCATTACACTACACAAAATTTCTGTGCCTTCCTCACGTATATCCTGACATGTTAAACCCCAGTCCCTCAGAATGTGACCTTAGTTGGGGATGGGGTCTTTTTTTTTTGAAGCAGGGAGGATAAGACAGGGTCTAATGTAGCTGAGATGATCTTGATCAGATCCTCCTGTCTCTGCCTCCCAAGTGCTGGGATTACAGGTAAGTGCCACTATATCTGGCTTTGGTGGTAGGTATTTACTGACAGTAGCCGACAAAATGAAATTATAATGAGAGGCCCTAATCCAATAGGATTGATGTCTTGGTAGAAGCAGAGATTTGAACACAGACAGATCCAGGTAGAGCTCTGTGAATATGCAAACCTCTAAGTCCAAGACTGAGTGATGGAGCCACTGCGGAGCTGGGGGGCTGGGGGACTGGGGGGCTAGGGGGGCTGGGGGACTGGGGGCTGGGGAGGGGCTGGGGCAGATCCTCTTTCTAAGCTCAGTAGGGAGAAACCCTGCTGGCAACTTGATTCCGAAATCGAAACCTGAAAAGATGTGAGCTAATACATTCTAGTTTGGAAGTGTGTCCCCGGCCCCTAGCCCTTGCAGACCGAATACCTGCTTTCTTGAAGGCCTCAGCCGATCAGTGTGACAGGTAGTGCTCTCACCCAGCCCTCTCTGGCTCTCATTCCATCCGCTCCACCCTTATGTGGGGCCCTCCCAGCCCCCTGGCTCAGCAACCGTCTCCCCTGCCCATTTCCCCCCTCTCTAGGGACTGCCTCCAATTCACCTGGAGTTGACAGACTCACTCCACAACCCTGCAACCCCACCCCGAGCGCGCCTGGGCAGGAACACCAACTCAGTGACGCCGGTGTGGTTAGCACCCCAGAATCTTTATCTCTACCCCCAGAGTCCAGGCACCAGGGCTCTCGCTTCTCCGGAACCCAGGCTCTGAAGCCCCACCCCACTTTCAATGGACCATTGTCCCAGACTGGGAAAGGCACGGGCAGAATCTGACATCATGAAGCCTGAGGTGGGGGGGTGGCACCCCCACCCCAGTCTTCCTAACTCCTGATCTGCCCCCACCCCCACCCCAGCCTAAGGGATTTCCCTACCCTCTCTCTTGCAAGAAAGAACTCTCCCTCCCCCACCTCCGTCCTGCTCTGGCACCTATAATAGCAACACTCTGGAGACTTGGGCATGTTGTATTGAAGCCTAGCCTGGGCTACATAGTGAGCTGGAGGTCAGCCTGATATATATATCCTCCAGTAACAAAAAAAAAAGAGGAGAGGACCAGCAAGATTGCTCAGTGGGTATTGGGGCTTGCTGCTAAGCCTGAGGACCTGAGTTGCATCCTCACTGATGAAAGGGGACAGTAGATCCCTACAGGTTGTCCCAGGTTGTCCTCTGAGCTCCACATGCAGCTGAGGTACACCTGCAAATCTGCACACATACACTAAATAGACACATAAATCAGGAGCCTGAAAATCGGCACTCGCTGCTCTTGCAGAAGACCTGGGTTCAGGTCCCAGCACCCATATGGAGGCTCACAAGCATCTCTAACTTCAGACCCAGGGGTTCTGATGCCTCATCTGACTTCCACGAGGATCAGACACGCAAGTGGTGCACAGATAACAAAGCACCCACTCACGTAACATCAATCTGAAATAAGCAAATCAGTAAACGCAGCCTTTAGGAGGGGGAGTCACACCTCCAGCGTTAAGCACCATACTTCTGGGGGTCAGGAAGGATGGGGTGGAGACAGCTCTCCAGGAACTTGAGGGGTAAGAATAGCATCTCAGAGCCAGGCGTTAATCCCAGCGCTCGGGATGCAGAGGCAGGAAGATCTCTGAGTTTGAGACCAGCCTGGCCTACAAGAGCTAGTTCCAGGACAGCATCCAAGGCCACAGAGAAACCCTGTCTCAAAGAAAGAAAGAAAGAAAGAAAGAAAGAAAGAAAGAAAGAAAGAAAGAAAGAAAGAAAGAAGGAAGGAAGGAAGGAAGGAAGGAAGGAAAGAAGGAAAGAAGGAAAGAAGGAAAGAAGGAAAGAAGGAAAGAAGGAAAGAAGGAAAGGAAGGAAAGGAAGGAAAGGAAGGAAGGAAGGAAGAAAAGCATCTCTGAGTCCCAAATGTCATGGGGCATTAGCAGAATATATATTTTAACTGGTGGAGATCAGAACTACACAGACAGTCCTTGTCCTCACCAGGGGAGCATGGCTGCCTCACCAGGAGGTCATTGCCGAGGACAAGAAGTGTCAATGAGAAAACAGACCAGGAGAGGAGGCACCCACACAGTTGACTCAAGGCGGTGGAGGTGATGGAGCCGCTGAAGGAGAGGGCGTGTCTCCTCCTGGCAACCGTCTCTCTCTCTGTATTGGCCTCTTGGGACCAAGATCACATTTAATGTTGCCAACAGTTCCTCGAAGACAACCCGTTTCACCTTTCAGCTGGCAACTTTCAGAGACATGAGGCCACTCCCACCTCCCCAGCCCCCGAATTAGGGTGCACATCAATGGAGGAAGGGGGAGGAGCAAGGCGGGCAGACCCCTCATCTTCTCTAGGAAGGAGCTAGTAGGACCCAGGCGTCAGGCTGCCCGGTCCCAGCTTTGTGGTGACAAGGGCCCCTTTGTGCCCCCCTCCCCCGAGGGCAGGGAGGAGCTGGGCCCTGGAGGCAGGCGGCCCCTGGCACCCAGGGGGAGAGGAGGGGCTGACAAGTGGGGGCCCTAGACCCTGGGAAGCCAAGAGACTGTGAGCCCGGTCAGCGGAGCAGAGGGCACCGAAGCCAGACCGTCCAAGTGAGTACTGAGGCAGAGAGGGTGAAGGGGAAGGCGGGGCAAACCACCCCCAGGGGGTCGGGAGCATTGGTAGCCAAGGCACGTGAGGGCCAGGTATGCCAGGAAGTCGAGGAGCGTCACTGAGAACCGGAGGGTCACTCCTTTCAAACGGGACGGGGCGGGCGGGTGGCTTTGGAAAGCATTGGGATCGGAGGGGAGACAGCAGCAGGGCTTTGAGACGAAGAGATAACGGGACGTCAATCATGGACACACCTCATGATGGAGGCAGCTTCTGCCATGCCAGCTCCCCTGAGGTTCCCAAATTTGGGAGAGTTTGGGACAGTGATCTGGGCTGGGGCAGGGGGAGGAGAGGATGCAGAGGCATCAGACACCTGAAGCCACCGTGAGGGAGAGGGCGAGGCCAGCAGGCTGGGAGCACCTGGGAACACCGTGGGGGGGCGAGTGTGTGTCTGCCTCCCCCCGGGGAACCATCTGCGTTAGTGCTCATGAACTCTTCTTCATCATACTTTACTAACGAGATCTGCAGGTGTGGTTTTTCCTGCCCTCACCCCTCCTTTGGATCTGTGCCTGTTTGTTGAAACAGGGCCACTCATAGCCCAAGCTAACCTCCAGCTTGCTAAGGCTGGTTTTGAACTCCTGACCCTCCTGCCTCCCGTTCCACATTCTGGGATGACAGGTGTGCCGTCACCATGCCTGGCTTCTCCAATGGAAATTTAGCACCACAGATCTGATATATTCATATATACATATATGCATTGTGATTCTTTAGAAAAACTTCAATTCAGCATCCTAGCTGAGGACGGCTTGGGCCCCCACCCAAGACCACAGCTTGCCCGAGCAAAGGAGGCTAGTGTGCCCGCCTGTATCACCCATCTGCTTACACTGAACTGGTCGGCTCTCCCCTCTGGGCATCTCCAGGTCCTTCCAGCCACAGCTGCCCCGTGCCCATAGATGTGTCTGGGTGGAGACTCCGTAGTCACCCTTCAGTGCGTGAGCAGGTCCTTGGGACCCGTGAGCGTGACAGCCAGAGCCATGACTACCCAGGGCAGTCGGGTGGTCTGTGCATTGCCTGTGTGTGCATTGTGGATGCTCCCCCGTAGAAACGGGGGCCTCAGGGCAGGGGTGTGTCCTCACGAGTCTCCCAGTCTCCCTTGTGTGAGTCTGTCCTTGCTGGCTGCCGGGCTTCCTACTAGCGTTTGCAAGCTTCTGGGCATGCATCTGTGGGAAGAGGGGGCAGTCGAGGCTGGAGAAAGCAGCCGCTTCAAAATCCTGGCTCCGGTCCCAGGCGACCCACAGAGCGACGAGCGGACCAAGGGGCCATCACCTCTGGCTCTTCCTGGCCCCTTGCAGAGCCCAGCCAGGAGGACCAAGTTCTCACTCATGCCCCACCTACCCCCCCAGGAGGTCCCTAGGATGAGGCACCCACACCCCCGAGGGAACAGGGCTCTTTTGTATTGGTCACTGGCCTCTGGTGAGGGTGGGGACACCCAGGGCCTGCTGCGGTGGGAGAGGGCGGCAGGAATTCACAAGGCATGCTGGGAATGCTGATGTTGTGAAACCCAGTCATTGATGGGACTGGGTCCCTGACTTACCACCCCCAGGCCTCATCTGCTCCTTCACCCCACTCACCACGCGCTGCTCCCCTCAGCCCAGAGCTATCCACTCCCTTCCCTCCCCACAGCTCTCCCACACCCCAGCTTTTGGAGGAGGGGGGGATGTTGTTGTGGTACAGTATCTCTGAGGCTGTGTGGGAGCATCCTGGGTATCCATGGATACCAGAGAACATGGACACACGTGGAGGAGCAGGAGGGAGGCTTTCACCCCCTAACTCCTGTCTGACTTGTATTCTAGGTTGACTGGCATTTCAAGTGGAATCAGGAGATATTCCCAACTCAGGGAGACTGAGGTAAGGCATAAAATACCAGTGTTTTCTTCAGCCCAACAACCCACTTACCGGGCACAGGAGGAGTGTTGGCTCTGTCTTTGCCTGGCACTCTCCGAGAGGTGGAGAAGCAGGACAATGGTGCTTAGGTCATTATTAACCCGCCACTGCCACCCAGGGACAGCGCAGCGTGGCTGCCAAGTCTGCAGACCAAACTGTGTTAGCTCGGGCAAGCTTTAGATGTGACCCCTCCGGACTTTATAGATGTGGCCTGTAATTGTACCTACCTCAAAGGCACCGGAGTTGTAACCCCAGTGCCCACTTGAGCTACGAGAATGCCAGACGTGAGACAAACAGAACCCTAAATGACCCAGCTGAACAGTTGTTCCTATTATTCCAGAGACATCAGGGGCTAAAGGCAAAGGAGAATTGGGGTCAGGAATGAGGTGCCTGGGCCCCTGCTTGGGCTGGGTAACTTTAGGCAGCTTGGTTAACTTCCCCGGTGACTGGGTTCAAGCCTGGGAGTTGTGCCTGTCTTGTGACATCCGGCTCTAGGTAGCAGAATGAGACGCTGATACCTGGCATTTACAAATGACAACGTCAGATAATGTTGGTCTAGGGTGCCCCTCCTGTGACCCTTTTCTTTCCTTCTTTTTTTCTTTTTTTCTTTCTTTCTTTTTTTTTTTTTTTTTTTTTTTTTTTGGTTTTACGAGACAGGGTTTCTCTGTATTGTTTTGGAGGCTGTCAGTCCAGCCCGGCCTCGAACTCACAGAGATCCACCTGCCTCTGCCTCCCGAGTGCTGGGATTAAAGGCGTGGGCCACCACCGCCCGGCTCCTGTGACCTTTTTCAAACTGACGCTTAGCACTCAGGAGGCAGAGGCGGGCAGGTCTCAGTTAGAGGCCAGCCTGGTCTACAGCGTGAGTTCCAGGAGAAGCCCTGTCTTGGAAAACAAACAAACAAACAAACAAACAATAAACAATAACAAAGTTCACCCTTGTCCCTCCACAGCCCTAGCTCACTCACTTGCTGGACAAGATGATAATCCTCACCACACTGCCTCTGTTTTGGATAATGATCTCAGGTAATGCATGGGGGGGGGGAGTGTCCCAGCCCCAACACCCCCGCCTGGTAGGAACTGTTGGAGATAATGGGGTGGACCCTGCGGCTCAGCTTCTGCGCTCCCTCCACCCACCTACAGCTTCTCGGGGAGGCCACTGGGGAGCCTGGATGCCCTCGTCCATCTCAGCCTTCGAGGGCACATGCGTCTCCATCCCGTGCCGCTTCGACTTTCCGGATGAGCTCCGGCCAGCTGTGGTACACGGCGTCTGGTACTTCAATAGCCCCTACCCCAAGAACTACCCGCCGGTGGTCTTCAAGTCCCGGACACAAGTGGTCCACGAGAGCTTCCAGGGTCGCAGCCGCCTGCTGGGAGACCTGGGCCTCCGGAACTGCACCTTGCTTCTCAACACACTCAGCCCCGAGCTGGGGGGCAAATACTATTTCCGAGGGGACCTGGGTGGCTACAACCAGTACACCTTCTCGGAGCACAGCGTCCTGGACGTCATCAGTGAGTCGGTCCCCCAAGCGTGGGTGGGCTCTGAGGGGCTGCGGCAAAGCCGGTAGGAGAGGGAGGAGCAGGTGGGGGTCCTCAGCCCCTGTGACACCCACATGACAGACCCACAAGAGGTCAGTTTAGCTGGATACAAACCCCAGCGCGGCCCACGCAGGTCACTTGGATGACAGACATAAGCAAATCAGGCCCTGAGTAGTCTGACTGCCCTCTGACGCTGTTCTTAGCCTTCTAGAGACATCTAGAGCCAAAGACAGAGGGGACCTGGGGTCAGGGGTGAGGTATCTAGATGCCTGCTTCAGCTGGGTGACTTTAGGCAGTTTGATTAAGTTTTCTGGGCCTTAGCTTCTGCATGCGAAGCAGGGGCTAAGAACAGCATGCATGGTGCTGGATGCCTGGTTTTAAGGCTGGGAGGGGTTTGCAGCACCGCATTTAAGCTCTGGCTGGTGGATGCAGGAGCATGACTCTCAGCACACTGTTTGCCATAGAAACCAGCACTGGAGGTCTCAGGTAACAGCCGGATTCTTGTACTTGCCTTGAATGGTTCTATTCCTGATACGGCGGGTCGGGGGGGGGCAGGATCCCCAAATGGATAACGGTGCTTGCCCCCAAGTCATACAACACAGATAGAGTGTTGACTAGGTCCAAGAGCCAACCTTCGAAACTGTGTTGTCCGGGTGGGGGAGGGAAAGAAATAGGGGGAAAATATCTGCAGGTAGTTATGGCCAGGTTTGGCAATTAGAATAGAGTCCCCTGCCTGGGACTCCTGCTGCCTGGTTTATGAGAGGCTTCCCTAACTGGAGAGATCTTAGGTTAGGTTTCCAGCAGCATCTGGTCTTTGTGGGTAAGCCAGACGACAGCCCTAACACAGAAAGAGACCGTGCCGCACACGCAGCACACCAGAGATACCTGTGACACACCCCCAAGCCACGCACATGCGCCCACACAACATGCCAGCTCCCCACCCCTACAGTATCCCTGTCTCCGTGTTGCTTTCTATTGCTGTGACTACACACAGCAGCCAAAAGCGACACGGGAGGGTAGAGAGTATTACAGTTAACGCTCAGGTCAGAGTCCACCACTGCAGGAGGCCTCCTGGAGGCGGAGCCTGAAGCCGAGACCACGGAGGAGAGCGGCTTACTGGCTCGCTCCGCGGTCTGACACGCAACAGCTTTTCTCAAGCCATCCGGGACCACTTGCCCAAAGATGGCGCTGCCCACCACGCCATAACTCTCCCGCATCAATCATTAACCAAGAAAAATGCTTCACAGACGTGTGCCGTAGGCCCGTACGACAGAGCCGTTTTCTCAGTTGGGATTCCTGCTCCCAGCTGACTCAGGGTGACCCAAAACCAACCAGGACAACATCACATACTCATACACACACACCACCCCCTGCCAGCTGCCCCCCCCATCCAGCAGCTCAGGTAGGGGACCAGAGAGGAACCCAATGAAATGGAATTCACAGATGCCCACAGAAGCAGGGGACAAAAGTCTGAAGCCCAGTTTTATGCTGCCATAGCTGTGGCCTTGCCATCTTCATGCGCGAAGTGAGCACAGCAATAGCATCCTCTCGCTGGGCGTTAGTGGCGCACGCCTTTAATCCCAGCACTCGGGAGGCAGAGGCAGGCGGATCTCTGTGAGTTCGAGGCCAGCCTGGTCTACAGAGCGAGTTCCAGGACAGCCTCCAAAGCCACAGAGAAACCCTGTCTCGAAAAACCAAAAAAAAAAAAAAAAAAAAAAAAAAGCATCCTCTCAATACCCTTGTCGCTTTATTCTAGTGTCCCGATACGCTCGCTCTGCGAAGTGCTGAGGGACAGGGTGGTGTGGGTCGGGGAGGGGACCAACACCAGGGAAGGGTGTAGCTGTGGGACTCCGGGCTTCAAGTCCCAGGAGTGGAGCTGGATCAGCCAGGTGAGCATGACCACGGCCGGAGACTGCTTCCGGAACCTTCCTTTTTCTCCGCTCCATACACAGACACCCCCAACATTGCGGTGCCCCCGGAGGTGGTGGCAGGAAGAGAGGTGGAGATCAGCTGCATGGTGCCGGACAACTGCCCAGAGCTGCGCCCAGAGCTGAGCTGGCTGGGCCACGAGGGGCTCGGGGAGCCCGCTGTGCTGGGTCGGCTGCGGGAGGATGAAGGCACCTGGGTGCAGGTGTCGCTGCTACACTTCGTGCCCACCAGAGAGGCCAACGGCCACCGTTTGGGCTGCCAGGCCGCCTTCCCCAATACCACCTTGCAGTTCGAGGGCTATGCCAGCCTGGATGTCAAGTGTGAGCCTGGGTGCGGGTTGGGGCAGGGGCGGGGCCTGGGAGAGAGAGACCGGGTAGGGAGTCTAGGGGCAGAGCTTGGATGGGTGGGATCTGGGGCGTGGCTTATTGGTGGGCGGTGTATCGGGGTGGACCTGTCTGGTGGGTGGTACCTGGATGGTGGGGCTTGTAGTGGGGAACCTAGGCTGTTTGAGCAGGCTGGGGGCCTCGGATGGAGTTAGGTCTGGTTTGTGAGTCCTGGAGGGGTAGGACCCAGAGGAGGGGGCCTATAAGGTGGGACTTGGGGGCGGGACCTGGGCCGGTGGACCGGGTCTGGACCTGACTCTGGCCTTCTGCCTTATCCCGGGCCTCAGACCCCCCAGTGATTGTGGAGATGAATTCCTCCGTGGAAGCCATCGAGGGCTCCTACGTCAGCCTGCTCTGTGGGGCTGACAGCAACCCCCCGCCGCTGCTGACTTGGATGCGGGACGGGATGGTGTTGAGGGAGGCAGTGGCTGAGAGTCTGTACTTGGATCTGGAGGAAGTAACTCCAGCGGAGGACGGCGTCTATGCTTGCCTGGCAGAGAACGCCTATGGCCAGGACAACCGCACGGTGGAGCTGAGCGTCATGTGTGAGTAACCCCCACCCGGGGTGCACCCCTGCTGGGAACAGACATAGGAAAGGCTTCACTCAGAGGGCCAGCCTTAAACATCGGGAACTTATTTACATTTTAAAATGAGGACAGTCGTGGCTAAGGTTTTTTAACATTTATTTAATTTTTATGTGTGTGTGCGTGTGTGTGCGTGTGTGTGTGTGTGTGTGTGTGTGTGTGTGTGTCTTGTACGTGTCAGGATGCTGTGTGGAGGTTCATTTCTGACTTGCTACCATGTGGCTCCCAGGGATTCATCTCATTCATCTGAGCCATCCCGCTGGCACCCATTGTAGTTTGATGGGAGGGCTGAGGAGACCCCAAGGCATCAATCAGCCCGTTACACAGACCTGGTTGTGATCGGAGAGGGACGCTGCCAGAGTGGGAAACTTAACTGAGAATCAAGCACAGGCCATTCATGCATGCATGCATGCATTCATTCATTCACAAATATGTATTGAGGCAAAGTGCCCAGGGCTGGGGATAATAAAGACAGTCACAGCCAGCGTTCACTCAGCTCTTCCTGACGGCTTCACACACATGCTCTCTGCATCCCCTACGCCGCCCGCTCCGCTCCGCTCCGCTTGCTCGCTCAAGGCTCCCCCAAGCCTTCCTTCCCCATCCTACTTAGAGCTGTGACCACTTGGTGCCTCCTCCCTAAGCTTTTGTTTTCTAAGCACAAATCCTCGGGCTAAAAATGTATTTTATTTCCTTACACAGCACCTTCCCGTAGGGCCTTGCTCAGCTAGAACAGTGCCTGTCACTTACCTGTATGGGTTTCAGCCCAAACTGGATGATCACCTCTATTCTGTGAAGCTGGGACTATTAAGCTCGTTTTTTTTTTTTTCAAATGGGAAAAGCGAGTCCCGGGGTTAAGACTAGAGTCTGCACAGCTGGGAAGGGGTAGGTAGTGCTGGCATCCAAAGCCAAGCTCCCAGGCCACAGATGTGATTCCAGCATTCAGGAGGCTGAGGCAGGAGGATTGCCACAAGTTCAAGGCCAGCCTGGACTGTATAGTGAGGCAAAAGGCCAGCTAGGGTTACATGGCAAGAGCCTGTCTCAAAAAGCAAATGAACAAATAAACAAACAACATTAAAAAAAAAGGACGGACTGTCTTTCCTACGGAATGACAGTTCACGTAAGTAAGACAGCCAGGACTGGATGCTGTAGATATGAGGTGTCAGCTGTCGAGTTTGATGGTGGGAACTGGCCAGCAGATGGAGCAGTTCTCGTGGGTTCTGACACTTTGTCTTGCCCCAGACGCGCCTTGGAAGCCCACAGTGAATGGAACGGTGGTGGCCGTGGAGGGGGAGACTGTCTCCATCCTGTGCTCCACGCAGAGCAACCCGGACCCCATCCTCACCATCTTCAAGGAGAAGCAGATCCTGGCCACGGTCATCTATGAGAGCCAGCTGCAGCTGGAGCTCCCCGCAGTGACGCCCGAGGATGACGGGGAGTACTGGTGTGTGGCTGAGAACCAGTATGGCCAGAGAGCCACCGCCTTCAACCTGTCTGTGGAGTGTGAGTGCCCCTCCCCTCGGCTTCCACCATAGGGCTCAGTGGGGGACAGCTGGGTGACTGGGAGGCACCCACGCATCCCAGCTGGGGCCTGCTTTGACCGTCCCTGCCCCCTGATAAGGATGGGGGAAGCTGAACCCATGCTAACGGCATCCTGGGAACTGGGGGAGCTTTTGACCAAGGGGGTTCAGGACCCTCTGGTCACCGTCCCTCTATACCTTTAAAGTGGCCACTCTGGTATTGTCTCCTGGAAAGCATTGCTGGGCACCAGACACTGATGGGTGTGTTGTATGCAGGGTCCCATTTCATCTTCATGACATCAGTGCCCACTTCATAGAGAAGGAAGCTGAGGCCCAGAGAGATTAGGACGCTTGCCCAAAGCCACGCAGCTAACGCAGCTAAGAAATAGCGGAGTTTGAGAATCAGACCCTCTGGCTCCATTCTGCGTTACATGGGGTTGACCACCCTGAGCTCATGCACTGACTGAGCCGTAGCGATGTGCTCTCGTGAGGTGGGATGTGGGAGCAAGGGGCCGCCATTGCTGATGAGCAGACTCAGCACAGTCAGGGGGATGCAAAGCTAATGTCTTGGGAGGGAAAGTAATTATTACACTGCCACTTTAGCACCTGGCCCAACCTCTCTGTGAACGACTCCCTCCACTCTGTCCCCCCCTACGTCTGGGTTCACTACAGGAGTCTCAGTTTTTTTTTTTTAAGATTTATTTATTACATTTGCAGTGTTCTGCCTATGCCTGCATGCCAGAAGAGGGCACCAGATTGAATTGTAGATGGTTGTGAGACACCATGTGGTTGCTGGGAATTGAACTCAGGACCCCTGGAAGTGCAGTAGGTGCTCTTAACCTCTGAGCCATCTCTCCAGCCCCCAGGAGTCTCAGTTTTGACTCCTCTCTCTCCAGTTCTCCAAGAATTTCCCAGCAAAGAGTGCTACCTCCTTGTTTACAGGTCGCTAGGCTTCTCTCTCACCTTTGCCTGACTTTTAGTACCGGTCTCTAAGGTCTCTAAACGGCACTTCTTACAGGGCTGAGGATGAAACCTTGTGGGTGTTAGGCAGGGTCTCTACCACAGAGCCACGCCCCAAACCCTCACTGGGGAATTCTAGGCAGGGGCTCTACCACTGAGCCACACCCCCAGACCCTCATTGGGGGATTCTAGGCAGGGGCTCTACCACTGAGCCACACCCCAGCCCCTCACTGGGAGATTCTAGGCAGGTACTCTACTCCTGAGCCACATACCCAGTCCCAGCTCCTTCTTCTACAAAAGGAGCTGACAAAAGCACCTCACAATTAAGATGGCCATGAGGGTGAAAGGAATGTGTCCTATGCATTCTTATATTTTTTGGTGAGCCTAGCCTTTAATAGCTGAGCCATCACTCCAGCCCTTAGATATCGTCGTCTCATTCCATTGGCTTTTCTTTGGGACTCAAGCCTGGGTGCTTGTCACTGCCATCAAAGCTCTGTGTGCTTCCTCTGCTAGATGCTTTATGTATACAGATGTAAGCATTTGGCTGGGATGCTAAGCATTTCATACATGCTCATTCATTCACCATTCACCGGGCTTTGGAGCCCCATAGCCTCTTGTGAGCTAACAGCACCTCCCCTTCTCCAGGGACTGGGAATGTAGCCCACTTGGTAGAGTGCTTAGCTAGCGTGTATGAAGCCCCAACTTCCATCCACAGCATTGCAGAGTGTTGGCATGCCCCCCACCCCACCCCTCCTCCCAAATGCCAGCAGTCAGGAGGAGGAGGCAGAAGACTCAGAAGTTGCCCTTGGCTACCTAGAGAGCCTAAGGCCAGCCTGGGCATCTTCATTTTCTTTGGTGTTGATAGGGGAGACAGGTTAACTAGCTCACGTTTCCAGGCTACAGCCTGTCATTACGGGGACGTCACGTTACCAGGAACCTGAAGGCGCTGGTCACGTCACAACCACAGTCAAGAGCATAGAGCATGAATTAATGCCAAGCTCAGCTCTCTCTCTCCTTTTCGTTCAGTGTGTGTCAGGGGACCGATGACCCCATAGACTGATGTTGCTCGCTTCCAGAGTGGGTCTTCCTTCAGCAAACTCAATTAAGAAAAATCCCTCACGGCCATGCCCACAGGCAAGCCTACTCTACACAACTCCTCACTGAGACCCCCCCTTCCCATGTAATTCCAGTGTTGACCATTAACACTACCACACCTGGGTACCCAGGGCTTTCTCAAAAAAGAAACCCCAAACCAAAGCCCCCCCCCCCCCGACCTTTATTTACCTATCTTGAAGGTTCACTGGCCACACTCAGCCAGTAGATGGCAGAGTTGGGATGTTAAAGCCAGGTACTCCAAAACTTCATTGTTTGAATCACGCCAAAGGGTTCCGCAGTTCTTCTGAAACTTCTGAGAAGCCAAAAAGATATACACACACTCAGTTAGGGTCCCAGCACTCTAGCATCTGGAGTGGGCACTTGTCACCAGCGTGTGGGCTGTGATGTCCTGTGTTTCAGAAATGTTCTAGAATTCTCTTTTAGTTCAGATCTGTCATGTCCTCTGGGCTGAGCTGAGTGTACATGGGCCCTATTGGTTTTAACCCTGCAGACTCAGAGACATAGGCATCGAGGCTCCAACTGGAGTTTACCCATCCCCGGGGTAGATTTGTCTGCTCCTGAGACTTTCTGCCAATCACCATTACTGGCACTGTCCTCTGGGCCTGGGGATGGGCAGGGTCAGTGAGGTGGTGGTCTTCTGCCCATGTGAGCAGATTTGGGTCGGAAGTTACTCAGTACCAGCACTTGGTCTAGAACCAGCAGAGAGAGGTCACATAGTTTATGATAGATGAACACAGTTTAAAGGCGGGCTAGGGAGATGGCTCGTGTGTTACATGCTTTCTGTACAAGTGTGAGGACCTGAGTTCAAATCACATGACCCCATGCTAAAAGAAAAAAAAAAAAAGAAAACCACATGCGATGATGGCAGGCACCTGCAATCCTAGTACTGGGAGCAGAGACAGGAGGATGCCAGGGACTTGGTGGCCAACCAGTTGGTGGACTCTAGAATTAGTGAGAGACCTTGTCTCAAAACAATAAGTGGAGAGCCGGGCGTTGGTGGCGCACTCCTTTAATCCCAGCACGCGGGAGGCAGAGGCAGGCGGATCTCTGTGAGTTCGAGGCCAGCCTGGTCTACAGAGCAAGTTCCAGGACAGCCTCCAAAGCTCCAAAGACATAACATCACTCTCTGGTGTCCACACATGCATATATGTACAACTGCACATACATATGCACAGCTCTCTCTTTCGTGCTCTCCCCCTTACACACACACACACACACACACACACACACACACACACACACACACACACACTTAGCTGGGCATGATGACTCAAGCCTGTCAATCCCAGCATGCGGGAAACAGAACCACAGAGAGCTCCAGGCTGTTCAGAGAGTTCCTTAACACGCCTGTCTCAAAACAAAAACAAACAGAAAGCATCCCTCCGTGTTCTAGTATAACTGCTTTTCTGGACAAATGAAAGAAAAAACCCACCCTAGACTGCGTGTGTAATCAAAGCTATGGAAGCTAGGTGGATGTGGTGATAATGAAGATGGGAATCAGGATTCAAGGAGTCTCCGGGAAGGAAGAGAGTTGGGGGGCATCACCAGGGTCAGGGGAGAGGAAAGGAAACCTCCAAAGGAGACTTTAGCTCGGATGGGTCAAATGACCAAAAGCCACAGGTCCCTTTTGGAAAACGTCACCCAACCACGACGAGAGGCGAGGGCCGAAGTTAGAGATGGCGCAGGAGGGAGAACACAGCTGTTTCGTCCCCAGAGCAAGGCTGGGGTCACCTCAAAGGCAGAGAACACAGCTGTTTCGTCCCCAGAGCAAGGCTGGGGTCACCTCAAAGGCAGAGAACACAGCTGTTTCATCCCCAGAGCAAGGCTGGGGTCACCTCAAAGGCAGAGGCAGGAGAGTCTCACAGGGCATGTCCCAAACAGCTGGGCTGATATGGGTCAGGATGCCAAAGAAAGAATCCTTGGATGTCATGGTGGGCCACGTGAGGTGTCTATTACGAGAAGTAGTGTGCATGGGGCACGGTGGTGTCCCCATCATGTGAAGAGTGAGAAACGAGTGCCTGTCATTTTGAACTCAGGTCTCTCTCTCTCTCTCTCTCTCTCTCTCTCTCTCTCTCTCTCTCTCTCTCTCTCTCTCTCTCTCTCTCTCTCTCTCTCTCTCTCCCCCGTCTCCCTGTGACTGCCATTGAACACAGTGTAAGACAATGTGGATGCTGGTGTAGGCTGGTGAATTTGTTTGTTTGAGACAGGGTCTCACTGTGTAGCCCTGGCTGGCCTGGAACTCCCTAAGTAGACCAGGCTGACCTCGAACTCACAGAGACCCACCTGTCTCTGCCTCCTGAGTGCTGGGATTAAAGGCAGGCATACACGATCATACCCAGTGCTGGCTAGTGTATTTCAGTGTTTGGGGAGGATCTAACCATTTTGCCAGGGCCTGTGAAGTCCCGGTTGTTGCTGGGCTGTGTTCAGTCGGAACGGACAGCATGCAGTGGGCGGGGTTACAGAGTGGTTGGTAGTCCATGTAGTTCTAGGCCAGGACCCACACAGAGCTAGCTTGCCCACCTCTGGGCACCCTGGCCTTCTCACCCTTAGTGTTGGTTTTAATCTTGCAGTTGCTCCCATAATCCTTCTGGAGTCACACTGTGCCGCGGCCAGAGACACAGTGCAGTGCCTGTGTGTGGTGAAATCCAACCCGGAACCCTCGGTGGCCTTTGAGCTGCCGTCCCGAAATGTGACTGTGAATGAGACAGAGAGGGAGTTTGTGTACTCCGAGCGCAGCGGCCTTCTGCTCACCAGCATCCTCACACTACGGGGGCAGGCCCAGGCCCCACCCCGGGTCATCTGCACCTCCAGGAACCTCTATGGCACCCAGAGCCTAGAGCTGCCCTTCCAGGGAGCACGTGAGTGACATGATCTGGGGGTGGGAGCCATGGGGAGCTCTTGGATCCACCCCACCCCCTACTCCTGCTGATGGACCAGCTTTGTAGACTGATGAAACAGCAAAACATGTTATCCAGACTCGTCATCCCAGCTATTGGGAGGCCGAGTCAAAGAATTATGAGTTCTAAGACTGCATAGACAATTTACTAAGACTGTAAGTAGCTCAGTGCTGGAGCCCCTGCTTAGAATCCCCCAGTGAGGGGTTGGGGGTGTGGCTCAGTGGTAGAGCCCCTGCCTAGAATCCCCCAGTGAGGGGCTGGGGTGTGGCTCAGTGGTAGAGCCCCTGCCTAGAATCCCCCAGTGAGGGGCTGGAGCCCAGGGATCAAGCATTTGCTTAGTACTTGGGAGTTCCTGGAGTTCAAACTCCAGTACTGAAAAAGCTAATTCTGTAACTGTTGAGCAGAGGCTGCCTAACATTTTGAGTTCTGACTCCCTGGGGTGTCCTCAGGCTTACCAATAGCCCTGAGGGTTCCTGCCCCTTCTCTGTCCCTAGACCGGCTGATGTGGGCCAAAATCGGGCCGGTGGGTGCCGTGGTCGCCTTCGCCATCCTGATTGCCATTGTGTGCTACATAACCCAGACCCGCAGGAAGTGAGTGCCCACCAGGCTGGTCTGGGGATGTGGAGACTCCAAGCAGGGTGGTGGCAGACTCTGAGAGGCTGGGCGAGCTAACCCGGGTGGTTCTGTATGCGCAGGCTGTACCAAGAATGTGTCTCCCTGGGGACATGTTTGTCTGAGTTCTATGCTGCAGCCTTCCCCTGTCAGCAAGCACAGAAGGCCTGGAAGCAGGCAAGGGAGGGAGCCACTGCGGTATGAGGAGAGGGTGACCCAGGAGTCCCCAATAGAACTGACATGTCATGTCTCCCTGCAGAAAGAACGTCACAGAGAGCCCCAGCTTCTCTGGGGGAGACAACCCTCATGTCCTGTACAGCCCCGAATTCCGAATCTCTGGGGCCCCAGATAAGTATGAGGTGAGGGCCGCACCCCTCCCTGCCTGTGGCTCCTGGCTAGCCAGGGAATGTGGCAACCAGGGCGGAAGGGAGGCCAGTCTCATGGGAGGGCCTTGGGAGGGCTGGATTGGGCTGGTGTTTGGGGAGAAGGTACCTTGGAGGCTCCAGTGGGCTGGGGCGGGTGGGGCCTGGGTAGCCCCGCCCTCCCTGCCTGTGCCTGTGACTGCATTTCCTTCTTCAATAGTCCAGAGAGGTCTCTACCCGGGAATGTCACTGAGAGCCCCAGGAGGTAGGTCCCGGGGGCCTCAGTGTGCCAGCCTCCAGGCCCTAGCTGGGCCTCGGGGTTGGGGTGCATGTGTGTGTGTCCCAGTCAGACGTCCGTGGTACCCTTTGGTCAATCCCAGCCTCGCTCAGCAACCCTGGCCTTGTCCCTTCTGTCCCTTCGCTGAAGCCCTTTTTTGCTGTCTGTGGCCGTTGTCCTATTGTGTGTCCAAATGCTGTGGCGCAGGAGTCAGGAGTAGACAGTGGGGGAAGGGGAGAGTCACGCCCCTAGAATAAACTCAATCTCTCCAAGTGAGGAGAGTGGCCCCGCCCCATACCCAAAGGCGCTTGCAACCTTTCCAAAAGGGTGGCGCAACCAAGATTTAATCCAGCGAGGTGTTCTGGGTTAAATGCTGCACCCTAAGGTTGCTTTCTCAAAGAGGGCTTCCTGGAGCCTGGAATTCCTAGGCGAATGCCAAGGTGAGCAACTAGAAGATAGCAGTGTTATCTTGCAAAGCCCCCCCCGACCCCGGAGAATGGGGCTCAGTGACTGTGGAGCTCCCTGAGCTGGTGGCCCCCGAGGAAGGGGTGCCAGCACCCCAGCCTTTGCATGGCGAAGTCACAGAGGATCCCGCTGACAGTCGTCTTTCTCCCCTCCACAGAGCAAGAGGCGCCTGGGATCTGAGAGGAGGCTGCTGGGCCTTCGGGGGGAGCCCCCGGAGCTGGACCTCAGTTATTCCCACTCAGACCTGGGAAAAGAACCCACCAAGGACAGCTACACTCTGACAGAGGAGCTGGCTGAGTACGCCGAAATCCGAGTCAAGTGACGAGGCTGGGGCTGGCCCTGCGGCTCACCCCCCAGCAGGGCCCTCGCTGGCCCCACGGGCTGTGGGCTCCCTCCCTCCTGAAGGTGGCAGGGTGAGGGCAGGGAGGGGCGCAGGGCAGGAGATGGTGAGGTCCTGGGGGCCCCCCCGGCCTCCCGTCCTTCCCAGCTGCTCCTCCTTGACAACACGCCACGCCCACATTGCCTTCCATTTAACCTCAGCTGTTTAGAGGGGCTTTCTGTCTGTCCGTGTTATTTATTGCGATCCCTTTCCCTGTCTACTGTCCCCCTACCTGGCCCTGGGACCTGTACAAAAGGGACATGTAATAAATGTCCTAATGCCAAATGCCAGTCTAGACCCATCCTTTGGAGGAAAGGGGGTTGTATCAGTTATTTTCCTCATGGCTGCAAAAAATACTGGACAAAACCAACTTTGGCAATTACGTTTCTGTCACTGTGAGAAAATCTCATAGCCACAAGCAAGGGAAGAAAGGGTTTATTTTTTTTTAATTTGTGTTTAAAGATTTATTTATCTTCATTTCATGTGTGTGTGTGTGTGTTTTGCATGCGTATGAATATACCGTGCCCGGGACCTGCAGAGTCAGAAGAACTGGAGTTAACAGACAGCAGTGAGCTGTGATGTGGGTGCCGGGAATTGAACCCAGGTCTTCTAGATGAGCAGTGAGTGCTCTTAACTCCCGAGCCATCTCTCCAGCCCCCAAGAAAAGGCTTATTTTGTCTTATGGGTCCAGTAGAGAGTTCATCCTGATAGGAGAGACTTGGCAGGAACAGGAAGTTGGCTGGTCACATTTTTATCCACACACAGGCATCAGAGAGAAAGAGCAGGAAGTGGGACACACTCAAAGCCCGCCCCCTGCCCCAGTGCTTTGGTTCATCCACTAAGGCTCTCCATCACCTCCACAAACTACCCTGACCAGCAGGGCATGGGAGGGGGGTCGAGCCCATGGGACCCTGGAATGGTGGAACAAGAGATACAGAGAACTGGCAGCAAGACAGACTTTCCCATCAAGCCGCGTTGATTGAGGCTTATACAGAGGTGGGGGACCACAGCATCTCACAGGTGTGTGTTGGCTGCCCTGCTGTCCCTCACCAGCACACTGAACTTCGAGCCTTCACCTTCCCAAACAAATAAGCTGTGTACTGAACCCCTCGAGGAAGACGGAGCTGTTGTGAGCAGGGATAAGTCCCCTGAGGAAAGGGCTGTTTGGTGGGGAACGTCTATTCACCCCAAATACTGCACCCAGGACACATACAACCATCTGACTCAGCTCAGTGAATCCAGGGCTTGACCATGATTAGTTACTCCAAGACAACTGCATCGCTGAATAGCCCACCCCAGAACGGGTGGTGTCCCACAAAAGTCCATGCCTAGATTGTCCTAAAGGCTTGGAGGCAGCATGGCTGACCGGAGAGTCTCCTCTCCTCTCTCCAGCAACTGTTACTGCTCTATAGCCTCATGGAGGCGCCTCGTGAAGCCAGCAGCCGTCTGGATTTGGGAGCTTACTAGAAAGGAAATTCATCCCCTTCCCCACCCACACTGTAGGACTCAAATGTTGTAGCTGTCTCGGAAAGCTGAGGGTCCCTGATGTTTGAAGAACGGGAGTGCTCGAGTCTGGGAGGTCTAAGTGGCTTCTTTGTGTCTCCCCATTTGCTGGTACCTGTAGAGTCCGGTTTTGAGCCACAGGCTCTGCCTCTACAGCTACTGGGCGGCCCTGACACTTTGATCCAAACTACTAGCAACTCGTAGGGTCCTGGGTCTCCCCCAATCCCCTGCAGCTGTCAGTATTACAGGGTCAAGGACAACCAGGCTCATACACAAGACCGAACTGCAATTCGTCCCACCTGGGCCTCAGGAGATTAGTGGGGCCTTCAGAGCACAGGACAGCAGTGAGGCTTAGGGTCTTAGGGGTCAGGGCCCCTGCAGGAGAGTTCCAACTCTGTCAAGACCCCCCCACACACACAAGTGGTAGCCCAGCTTGTAAAATCCCAGGAACTAATCTGTGTGTGGTGGCACAGGTTTATAATCCCAGCTCTCAGAGGCTGAGGCAGGAGGATCACCACGAATTTGTGGATAACCCCAAACCACATAGTGAGTCTGAGACCAGCTGGACTATATATATATATATATTTATTTATTTATATATCAAGACCCTACCTCAAACCCAACACCAGGAGTAGAGCCAGGGCAGCAGGGCGAGGCGAGGCTGAGGATAAACCGGTGTCTTTTGAGACAGCTGGCATGGAAGTTTGCTCCAATTCCCACATGCACACCACACACGGGTGGGCACACCCTGGCACACCTTTCCAACAGACCCAGGCTCCAGCTGGGCTGGCTTGGTAGAAGGGCATCCTGAGGACTTTGCCCTGGGGAGAAGAACGATGTCAATAAGCAGGGCTAGGGGGATAACCTCGCCTCCACAGGTACAGTCTGGACCAGCGGCTCTCAGCCTCCCTAAGGCTGGTTTCTTGGTTCTCAGCCTGCCTAATGCTACGGTCTTTTAATGAGTTCCTCATGTTGTGGTGACCCCTAACCATAACACCATTTCGTTGGTGCTTTTTTTTTTTTTTTTGGTTTTACGAGACAGGGTTTCTCTGTATTGTTTTGGAGGCTGTCGGTCCAGCCCAGCCTCGAACTCACAGCGATCCTCCTGCCTCTGCTTCCCGAGTACTGGGATGAAAGGTGAGCACCACCACCGCCCGGCTCATTGGTACTTCTTAACTGTACTCTTGCTACTGTTATGAATCATAATGTGAATATCTGAGATGCAGGATGTCTAATATCTGACCCCAGTGAAAGATCATTCGATGCCCCCAAGGGGGGTCGCGACCCACAGGCTGAGAAGCACTGGTCTAGAGCCATGCTGGTTCGGGAGTTGATCTAGACAGGGTGTTCTTGTTAATGCATCGTCTCGTGTATGTCATAACAAAAGCAGCACCCTGAAACAGTGTTTTCTTAGGCAATAAAAGGCTAGAAAGAGACCAAGACAAAAAAGCAAAGTTAAGGGACTTGAGAGGTGGCTCGGTGATTGAGAGCACTGGCTGCTCTCGCAGGGGACCTGGGTTTGGTTCCCAGCATTCATGGCGGCTCCATGAGTTACAAGCATCTGCAACTTCAGCCCCAGGGCATCTGGCACAGTGGATATGCACATGTCTAGGCAGAACACTCATATGCATCAAATAAAATCAACAAATAACAGAGAAAGGAGAGTTAAAACCGAAAGAAAAAAATATCAAGGAAACTGGGTTTGGTGGTGGTGCACTTCAGTCATCCAAACTCTTAGAAGGCTGGGCCACGCGTAGTAAGATGATGTCACAATGCAAAGAATCGAGTCAATTTCTAAAGATGCGTTTGTCTTTGTATGTCTGTGTGTTTGCCCGCTCGTCTGTGTGTGGTGGTCAGGAGAGGAGGCCAATGCTCCCGGAGCTGGAGTCGTAGGTGGTTGTGAGCCGTCTGAGCTGGGTGCTGGGAACCGAACTCAGGTCCTTTGCAAGAGCAGCCTGTGCTCTCCACTGCTGTGCCGCCTCCCCAGCCCCTCCAGTGAGCTGGTTTAAAAACAAGAACAAAATGGAAACATTCCAGGCCATTTTACAGACAGGGCCCCGGAGATGAAGGCTGTGTCCAAAAACAAAACAAACAAACAAACAAAATCGCCTGTATCATTTACTTCTCTCTCATAGCTGTGACAAAGCCCTGGCAGAAGCAACTTAAGGGCAGAAGGATTTCTTTTGGTTCAGTTTCAGAACATCATGGCTGGGAAGGCGGGGCCAAGCTTGTAATGGCAGGAGTGAATGATGGAGGCTCCTTGAAGTTTAGCAGATCAGGAACCAGGCAGTACGGACCTGACCAGAAGCCACCTTCAATGGTTGCCTCCAGTTATCCAGGGAGGCACTCCTGCTAGCTAAGTCAGCATTTCAAAGGTTCCACTGCCTTCCAGAAATAGCAACACACCAGCTGGCATGATCCTAAAACAAAAACAAAAAATAAATTTGGTAATCAAACACCGGAGCCCGTGGGAGACTTCTCACATTCACATCCTAAGGCCATCTCTCAGGAGGCTAATGTCCCTTGAGATGCCCAGAAGTCAGGCCTGGGACTTCCTCCATGCATCTCCTGAACCCCAAGAGAGGGTCACGTGTGATCAGCGAGCCAGCGCCAGGCCCCAAAGAAGCCACCCCTGACCTCCCGGAGCCGACTGTGAGAACAAGACAGGTGACACCCGGATGAGCAGGTGTCCTGTCCCTGCTCCTCAGATAGTTAGGACAAAGCGTGACGTAGGTCGGGTGTCACAGGAGGTTGCGCTTATAGGGAGCGGGCTCTTTGGGCGGGGCCTGGGGAGAAAGAAGGAGGCAGCCTGAGCTCCGTTGTGGAAAAGGAAGAGTTCTAAGGAGAGCCGCAGCCAAGGGCGAAGCCCCACGGCCGTGATGTATTTTGTTGCCTTTGTGGAGAAAGGAGCTCGCGTGTCTGAGCAGAGGGATGGAGGAGGCGTGGCTGTCCGAGGGAACTGGATCAAGGGGAGCTTCGAAGGTCATGGACAGGATGCAGATTTTACCCTGAGCAAGACGGTAGCTCTCGGTGCTTGGAAGAATGCCCAGGAGCGTTCTGAAGACCAATGGTAGATTCGGACAGCTGTGGACAGAGGATCTCAGAGTTCGTGGTCATCAGTGGAGAGTGGGGGACAGTGGGGGGTCGGGACCCACGGAGGAGAACCATTGCAAGGCCAAAGGGAAGAGAGGAGTCCAAGACGGCCCCTGCTGCTTCCTGGGAAGAATGAGGGTGGGTGGATCCTAAGAGAGGCTTCCTCTGGCCGTGTCTGGGGACAGGAAAGACAGTAGGTGTCCCTACCTTGAGAAATACCAATAGGGCAAGAGTGGAAACCAGGACACTGAAAGGTTCAGGCGTTACGCTGGCCTGCTCTGTCACCTGACAGGATTCACTCAGGCAGCACTCTGGCCAGCCCAGGGTTCCATGAGACCCAGTCTGCACGCAGGTGCAAAGGACCCCTTTAAAGGACAGATCCCGGCCGGGCGTCGGTGGCGCACGCCTTTAATCCCAGCACTCGGGAGGCAGAGGCAGGCGGATCTCTGTGAGTTCGAGGCCAGGCTGGACCAACAGCCTCCAAAACAGAGAAACCCTGTCTCGTAAAACCAAAAAAAAAAAAAAAAAAAAAAAAGGACAGATCCCTGCCTGCTTACTCTCTCTCTCTCTCTCTCTCTCTCTCTCTCTCTCTCTCTCTCTCTCTCTCTCTCTCTCTCTCTCTCTCTCTGTCTCTGTCTCCCCTCTTTTGGTCTCACTATGAAAACTATGGTTAACGTGCTCTCCATGGC